CCAAATCCTGGTCCTCTGTGAACCATTTCTGTTATACCAACTTAACTGTATTTAACAAAACTGGGCTGCCACCAGTTTCACCCTGCAAGACCACACCACACTCACTTTTTGACAAATATTAATTGGGTAATTACTCCAAGTAAGCCACTGCGGCAGGTACTATGGGTAATTCAAAGATGAATCTGCTAGTATCGTTAAGGATCTTGCAATCAAATTCAAAACTGAAGGAGAGGACTGTGGGGGAGGGAAGGAAAGGATCACAAAGATATCCAGGAGGGTAAATAACATGAAAAAATCAGAAAGAGAACTAATTTCAGGATTAATAAACAACCTCCTTGAGATTTAGGGTGGAATGTCCCTCCTAGGTGTTATGCAAATCGTGTTCCCTATCTCTGACTAGGAGGCAACAAGATTGTTATCTTATAAAGCTTTAAATAAACATGAACATTACCATTTAGAAGATTAAAAATAAACTCAGTAAAGTGTCTTTTGTGTGTGTGTGTGTGTGTGTGTGTGTGTGTGTGTGTGTGTGAGAGAGAGACAGAGTCTCGCTCTGCTGCCCAGGATGGAGTGCAGTGGTACGATCGGCTCACTGCAACCTCCGCCTCCAGGGTTCAAGCAATTCTCAGACCTCAGCCTCCTTAGTAGCTGGGATTACAGACCCGGGCCACCATGCCCGGCTATTTTTTTGTATTTTTAATAGAGATGGGGCTTTGCCATGTTGGCCGGGCTGGTCTCAAACTCCTGACCTCAAGTGATCTGTTCACCTTGACTTCCCAAAGTGCTGGGATTACAGGCATGAGCCACCATGCCCAGCCATAATTTTTATTTTTTAAAACTTGTTAATTTTCTTACCTCTGTTTTCAGTTTACTCTTTCTGTGACTTTTTTTTTTTTGAGACAGAGTTTCACTCTTGCTGCCCAGGCTGGAGTGCAGTGGCGCAATCTTGGCTCAATGCAACCTCTGCCTCCTGGGTTCAAGCAATTCTCCTGCCTCAGCCTCCCAAGTAGCGGGGATTAGAGACGTGAGTCACCAAGCATGGCTAATTTTTTGTATTTAGTAGAGATGGGGTTTCACCATGTTGGTCAGGCTGGTCTCAAACTCTGGACCTCAGGTGATCCACCTGCCTTGGCCTCCCAAAGTGCTGGGATTACAGGTGTAAGCCACCATGCCTGGCCTTTTTAAAAAAAAAAAAAAAAAAAAAAAGACAGTCTCACTGTGTCACTCAGGCTGGAGTGAAGTCGCTCAATCTTGGCTCACTGCAACCTCTACCTCCCATGTTCAAGTGATTCTTGTGCCTCAGCCACCTGAGAAGCTGGGATTACAGATGTGCACCACCACACCCAGCTACTTTTTGTATTTTCAGTACAGACAGGGTTTTACCATGTTGGCCAGGCTGGTCTTGACTTCCTGACCTCAAGTGATCCACCCACCTTGGCCTCACAAAGTGCTCAGATTACTGGGATTACAGACATGAGCCACCACACCTGGCCTGTGACTCCTTTTTTTTTTTTTTTTTGAGACGGAGTTTAGCTCTTGTTTCTCAGTCTAGAGTGCAATGGTGTGATCTCGCTCACTCTAGCCTCTGCCTTATAGGTGGGCACCACCACGCCTGGCTAATTTTTGTATTTTTAGTAGAGACAGCATTTCACCACGTTGGCCAGGCTGGTCTCAAACCCCTGACCTCAGGTGATCCACCTGCCTTGGCCTCCCAGAGTCTTGGCATTATAGGTGTGAGCCACTGTGCCCGGCCTGGCTGTGACTCTTAATAGATACAACGTTTCTTGAAAGAGTCCTTAGTTTTCTTACTTTTTTTCTCTTTTTAAAACATCATTTTTTGGTCCAATCTTCTGGGAGATTTTTTCATTTGTATCTTCCATTCTTCTGATTAAAAAATTCTGTAATCATATTTTTATACTTTCTAATTCTAATTTTTATTCTTGAATTGTCCTTTTTAATGTATCATCTATTATTATACCATGGATTTAATATCCTTCCTTGTCAATTATATTGATTATAGTGCTTTGAAAAACATCTGCCTTTGCTTGCATTGTCTCTATTTCCTCTAAGTTATCTTTTTATCAGTTTGTTTTTGACTTGCTGTTTCGTAGAAGCAGCTTTTCTCAAATGCCCAGTGGTCCTCTTTTCCTATTCTGCTTCAGAGTAAGGCAGCGGATATTCTGGGCACTTAGATCCTCTGAGGCTTGTCAAGTGGTGGGTCTTGCTGTGGAGGACTGCTCAGGGATATGGCATGTTTACTGAGGAGGCCCCAAATATCCACGTCTGCAGGGCTTTTCTCCTGAGTTTGACAGTTTTTTCAGAAAGAAATCCTCAGTTTTCTACTTGGTGAATATGAGGAATTTTAAGTTGGCTGCCAGCATTTTGAGAATCAATAAGGGTTGGGAGAAAGGAAATCGTCTTTCAGAATGCAGATATTCTCTTAGGCTCTCAGCTTTTTTTTTTTTTTTTTTTAAATTTCAAAAACTTTAATTTTGTAGAGATGAGGTCTCACTATGTTGCTGGTCTTGAACTCAAGAGCTCAAGTGATCCTCCCGCCTTGGCATTTTAAAGTGCTGGGATTACAGGCATGAGCCACTGCACCCACCCATCCTCGATCCTTTAAGGATGGTGGCTACCCCCACCCTCAGCTGTGCCTGGTTTCTCTGTCCAGAGCCTCAGATTAACCCAACCAATTACAGCCATGAAGTTAAATAAATTCCAAGAGGTTTTGGCTAAAAAGACAAGAAGTTTTGCACTAGAGTTTCTGAATTAAAAGAAAATCAAAAAAGTTCCCTCTCAACTGCCAAAATGAGAAATTTACCCAATTCAAGCCCCTTTACCCCTCCCACTTCGCCATGCTTTTTTTTTTTTTTTCCCTTTGATAATGCCTCAGTACAAGTATTCAGGGTCCAAGTTTGTTTTAAAATAACCCAATGAGCTGACAGACGGAGCTCCTGGAATTCTGCAGCTTGTGCGAGAGTCCACAGATGGGAAATTGCAGTCAGTTATAGGGTGGTGCTATTACCATAGCCCAATTTTTGAAAGCCTTTAGAAAAAAAAAGTCATCTGAGTTAATTAGCATTCACCACAGGCACTAGTTTTGTGTTGCAGTATTCTAAGAACTCAGATAATAGAAAAATTCAGTACTGCAATCTCTAACTTTAATATTTTACCTCTTAAAAACAAAGATTACAAAGAAAGAATTTTACCTGTTACATGAATATGCCTAAGGCTCATCTATAGCCTTATATCAGCAAGAAATATCAATTATGTTCTAAAATCCACTAATTACTAATGGTACCTAAAACAGGAGTAATTTCATTTTACCTCTCCGATCTGTTTAATCCACAAATCTCTTCCAAGAAATTCCTGATGTAAGACTACAGGAGCTGAGTTTAGATTAAAAGTCATGGAGTCACTGGTCTTTTCTTTAATAAAAGGCTGGACATCAGAATTTATCTACAAGAAGCAGTTAAATGAGTAAATTAGTGAAATGTATATACACTAGTATGTTTTAGTTATATTCAGAAAGTACCAGTTAATGCAGTGAATTATGAAGCTTAAGGAATGCAGTTTTTAGATATACTTTAATAAACAAAATAACATTTCAGGCTGGGTGCAGTGGCTCATGCCTGTAATCTCAGCACTTTGGGAGGCTGGGGTGGGTGGATCACCTGAGGTCAGGAGTTCGAGACCAGCCTGGTCAAAATGGTGAAGCCCTACCTCTACTAAAAAAACAAAAATTAGCCGGGTGTGGTGGCACACACATTCCAGCTACTCGGGAGGCTGAAGCAGGAGAATTGCTTGAACCCGGGAAACAGAGGTTGCAATGAGCCGAGATCGTGCCACTGCACTCCAGCCTGGGCGAGAGTGAAACTCCGTCTCAAAAAAAAAAAAAAAAGAAAAAAAAAAAGAAAAAAAAAAAAGTATATTTCAGATGATTAACAATAACCTGTAAAATTCTCCAAATAACCTGTAAAATTCTCCAGAATCATTCCCTAACACATTCCATTTTTAGTGGGTGGCAGTCTTTATTTTAAGTTAAAGGAAAATATTTAGATAAAGATTTAATAAATAGAATTGCTTAATAAACTGATCTAAGATTAAATAAAATATGCAAAAAGCTCACCTGGAGATATTATATATGTATATATTCCCCTCCTTATGAACTATTTAAGTAACATCTGAAAAGTATATATTAAATTAAATTTAAAATTATATATATAGAGAGAGGTAATAACACAGCAGCTAATTTTGGGATATTTTAGATTTCATATGCCCATTCAAAGAATTAGTTATTAAAATTAAAGCTTTCAATTTTATTCACTATATTTCTGAATTTTATTAACTTCTCATAACATGTTTTATATAAAGAGCTATGAGGCCAAGGCAGGCAGGTCACGAAGTCAGGAATTCCAGACCAGCCTGACCAACATGGTGAAACCTCGTCTCTTTTAAAAATAAAAAAATTAGCCAGGCATGGTGGCGTGTGCCTGTAATCCCAGCTACTCGGAGGCTGAGGCAGGAGAATTGCTTGAACCCGGGAGGCAGAGGTTGTACTGCAGTGAGCTGAGATTGCGCCACTGCACTCCAGCCTGGGTGACACAGCGAGACTCCGTCTCAAAAAAAAAAAAAAAAAAAAAGCGATAAGGGAACTGTAATAAAAATGACAAATATTCTTCCATTATGTGAATATATTCCAGTCTGCAAATATGTTATTTAATAATATGTAAGAGTTCTCTCAAGAACCCTTTCAGGTGGTAAAAAAAAGACAAACATCAAAAAACTGGTTCAAGTAAGCTGTGGCTTTCTGTAAGAAATGCACAATACTTACCAATTATACTGTTTACATTACATAACAATCATCCAGGGCTGACAGATTTGAACCACACAATAAGCATTTTTGAAATATAAAAGCAGCTTATTAAAGAGCAAAAGCTTTCTTGTGTATCGTTGTAGCTATTTAAGTACTGAAAAAAGATAAAGGGTGTGCAAAATACCTTATGACTCATGGCCATGTGCTTCCCATACTGAAATGCCATATCCTGAACCTCAGCATCATGCTTTGCTAATTCCATTGCAGCTTGGCAGCTCTTTGCTAGTAAGGCACCATGGGAGAGAAAAGTCTGCTCCTTCCAAGTCGATATTCCAATATCATCTGTGATATAACTTTCCTAAAAATGTAACAAAAGCCAAGATAAAAAAGACTTTAGGAGTAATTTAATTGTTTCTGTTTTTGAAGAACAAAAAAGTTAAGAAACGAACTATTCAAAAACACTCAAGCTATTGGAACAAGATAGATGCCTAACCTCAGCTCTACCTACAAAGAGTGTGGAGGGGAGACTGTTTTTTTATGGTAATAGGGGGAAAGTTAAAGAAATGTTAAAGCAAATTTTATTCTAAGCTAGGGAATTTCTATTACAGGATAAGGGAAAAAGTAGAAAGACTTCAAACTCACTCCTTTCTATAGTCATATCAGTTCTTAAGTGCTGGTATTAAGCACAAGAAGCCTATTGCATTTAATTTATGTGAAAATGTCAAGGGCATATGGAAGGAACTACATTTCTTAGAAATAATTAAATAGAAAAATAAGGCTGGGCGTGGTGGCTCATGTCTATAGTCCAAGCGCTTTGGGAGGCCAAGGCAGGAGGATTGCTTGAGGCCAGGAGTTCGAGACTAGCCTGGGCAACATAGCAAGACTCTACAAAAAATAGAAAAAAAAGCCAGACAAGGTGGTGTGCCCTTCTATTCCTGACTACTCAGGAGGCTGAGGCAGGAAGATCACTTGAGCCTAGTTCAAGACTATAAGTAAGCTATGATTGCACCATTGCACTACAGCCAGGATGACAGAAGAAGACCGTGTCTGTCTATCTGTCTCTTTCTCTCCTTCTCTTTTTATTTGAGACAGGGTCTTGTTCTGTCACCCAAGCTGGAGTGTAGTGGCATGATCATGGCTCACTGTAGCCTTGACCTCTCGGGCTCAAGCGATCCTTCCATCTCAGCCTCCCAAGTAGCTGGGACCACAGGCATGCACCACCACTCCTGGTTAATTTTTTGTACTTTTTGTAGACACAGAGTTTCTCCATGTTGCCCAAGCTGGTCTTGAACTCCTGAGCTCAAGTGATCTGCCCGCCTTGACCTCCCAAAGTGCTGGGATTACAGGCATAAGCCACCGCACACAGTTAATTTTTTTTTTTTTTTTTAGTAGAGACAGGATTTTACCATGTTGGCCAGGCTGGTCTTGAACTCCTGGTCTCAGGTAATCCACCTGCCTTGGCCTCCCAAAGTGCTGGAATTACAGGCACGAGCCACTGTGCCAAGCCTACCCTGTATCTTAAAAAAAGAAAAAGCGTGGGTGCGGTGGCTCACGCCTGTAATCCCAGCACTTTGGGAGGCCAAGGTGGGTGGATCACGAGGTCAGGAGTTCAAGACTAGCCTAGCCAACATGGTGAAACCCTGTCTCTACTAAAAATACAAAAACTAGCCAGGTGTCCTGGCAGGCGCCTGTTATCCCAGCTACTTGAGAGGCTGAGGCAGAAGAATCATTTGAACCCGGGCGGGAGGTTGCAGTGAGCTGAGATCGCACCACTGCACTCCAGCCTGGGCGAAAGAGCAAGACTCTGTCTCAAAATAAAGAAACAAACAAAGCAAAAGAAAGAAAAATCAGAGAAGATGTAATCTGTTATAATGGAGGATGATTATTATAGTGTTCATGAAAGTTTATTCTCATAAGAAACAAGGTGTAAAAGAGGATATAATGTATAAATAAATATATACACATCTACCACTTCTAGACCAATGCTGTCCAACAGAAATACAATGTGAACCACATGTGCGATGTAAAATTTTCTAGTGGCTACATAAAAAAAAGTGGAAACAGGTGAAATTAATCTTAATGACATATCTATCCCAATATATCCAAATATCATTTTAAACACATAATCAATATGAAAATTATTACTGAGCTATTTTATACTCTTTTTTTATACTAAGTTTTCAAAATCACTGTGCATTTTACACTTACAACACCTCACTAGCCACAATTTAAGTGCTCAGCATTGGACAGTATGGCTCTGAGGAAAGGAATGCTGAAGCAAACATATAAAACAATGTTCATTTTATGGCATTTATTTGAAACATCAAACTAACTGGAACCTAGCCAGAAGGATTAATTAACTCAAACACTTTTCTTCCTGCTCCTGATCCTATAATCCTTTCTCTTTTCATAATTGCTTGGAGACAAAATAAAAAATATTAAGGAAAAAAAGTGGTCACCAAAAGGTCAGCTGAAATAGAGCCCCCTCCTCTTCTGCCATGTTGAAGGGAATCTTCAGTCCACTGGTCAAATCAAATTATCAGCTTAATTTCATGCAATGTTTTTGAGATGGGGTCTTCCTATGTTGCCCAGGCTGGTCTCAAACTCCTGAACTCAAGCAATCCTCCGACCTCAGCCTTCCAAGTAACTGGGATCATAGGTGTATGCCACCATGCCCAACATCACCTTAATTTTATTAAATATTGGAATAACAACAAAAAATTCCACTTACGGCACTGGCTGCAAATATACAGCACAGCATTGGGTAATAACAGAAAAGCCACACAGGAGAGAAACAGTGCATAATGTTAAGACCTTCTTTATAAAACATTAGGTATAAATTATAACATACTTAATTTTATAAATCTGAGAATGTATTTTAAAATGTGACTACATATATTAATAAACCTAAGAAAAACCATATTATCTCTCCATATATACTGCAGAAGTATTTGACAAAATTCAACTCCTATTCTTGATAAGAAAAAATGTCCTGAATCAAATAGAAAGAGCTGGGTGCAGTGGCTCACACCTGTAATCGTAGTAACTCAGGAGGCTGGAGTGGGAGGATCACTTGAACCCAGGAGTTCAAGACTGCAGTGAGCCATAATCATGCCACTACTCTACAGCCTGGATGACACAGTGAGAACCCTAACTCTAAAAAATAAAAAAATAGCAACTGATATATATTTCTTTAATGTGATGGGGTGTGTGTGTATCAGCCCAAAAGTCAGCAAATATTTTATGGGGAAATATGAGCCTTTCTCACTAATGTCAGGAGTAAGACAGAGATGCACACAACACCACTGATATTTACAATGTAATAGAAGAGACAAGAGAAAGGTAGATGCATATAAATTAGAAAAGATGAGTTTAACTCTTACTGTTTGAAGGCAATATAACTGCATATTGGGAAAATCAAGAGACTCAACTAAAAAACTACTACAAACAAGAAGATAATTCAGTAAGGTAGCAGTGTCTAAAATTAATAATTTATAATTAACATAATAAATTGTATTAACCATAGCTTTCATACATAAAAACTAATCAGTAAGTGTTATAATCAGCAAGTGTTATAAATAAGGTCTTTTCTTTCATTATGAATACAAAAATAAAGATTAAAAAACTGGGAATAAGGCCAGGAATGGTGGCCCATACCTGTAATTCCAGCACTTTGGGAGGCAGAGGTGGGCAGACTACTTGAGTTTAGAAGTTAAGAGACCAGCCTGAGCAACATGGTGAAATCCTGTCTCTACCAAAAATACAAAAATTAGTTGGGTGTGGTGTCTTGGCGCCTGTAGTCCCAGCTACTTGGGAGGCTGAGGCAGGAGAATCACGTGAGCCTGGGAAGCAGAGGCTGCAGTGAGCTGAGATTGCTCCACTGCACTCCAGCCTGGGCAACAAAGGGAGACCCTGTCAAAAAAACAAACAACAAACAAGCAAACAAAAAAAACAACAAAGAAAAAAACCTAGGAATAAGGCCAGGTGAGGTGACTCATGCCTGTAATCCCAGTACTTTGGGAGGGTGAGGGGGGGGTGGATCACCTGAGGTCAAGAGTTCAAGACCAGTCTGACTAACATGGTGAAATCCCGTCTCTACTAAAAATACAAAAATTAGCCGGGCAAGGTGAAGTACTCCTGTAGTACCAGCTACTTGGGAGGCTGAGGCGGGAGGATCACTTGAACCAGGGAGGCAGAGGTTGCAGTGAGCTGAGATCGCACCACTGCACTCTAGCCTGGGCAACAGAGCCAGACTCCATCTCAAAGAAAACCAGAAAAAAACAAACAAAAAAAATACCAAAAACCAAAAACCAAAACCTGGGAATAAGCTTAGAAATGTGCAAAACTGAATGAAGAAAATGTAAAATACTACTGCAGGAACAAAGATAACTTGAATGTATATAAAGACACATCATGTTCAAAGATAGTAAGATCCAACCTCATAAGTTACTCCAATAAAACTAACAATACCTTTTCCCCCTGACACTGGGCAAACTGAAGTTCATATGGGAAAAATAAACAAAGAAGAGCAGCCAGGAAAATCTTGAAAAAGAAGAGCAATGTATGTGTGAGGTGTTGAAGGAGGGGTGGAGAGGGAGAGCAAATTTTGTCTAAGCCTTACCAGATACTATAACATACTGTAAAATCTCAGAAATTTAAAAAATATGTACTTTTTAGGTAGAGAGACAGACTAGGGAACAAAATAGAAAGTCCAGAAAGCAACCAAACTATATATAGGGATTTGCTATATTTTAGGAAGAAGTTGAACTTTTCAGTAAATGGTGCTGGTACAACTAAATAGCTATCTGGAAAAAATAAAATCTGAGCTGCATTTCGTACCATTTACCAGGATAAACTCTAAACGGCAAAAACAGCAAAACAACCACAAAACCACAGGCAATGTTAAGAGACAAAGGACAATGAGGAAAACAACTTATATTTCCTATCACAGACAAACGGGCGAATCTCCCTGTGGTAGGCTAACAATGCTCACCGTTTCTGCAAATATGTCTATATCCTAATCCCTGGAAGCTGTGAATGTTACCTTACATGGCAAAAGGGACTCTGCAGATGTAATTAAATTCAGGATTCTGAAATGAGGGGATTACTCCGGTTTAACTGGATGGGCTCAATGTAATCGCAGCAGTCCTTATAAGAGGGAGTCAAAGTCAGAGTCATAAAAGGTAATTTAATGACAGGAGAGAGAAATTTGAAGATGAGAGATGGGGCCATGAGCCAAGGAATGAACATGGAAATTAGAGAAAGCAAGGAAATGGATTTTCCCTGAGAACTCCAGGAAGAATACAAGTCTGTAAACATCTTGATTTAGTGACTTCTGACCAATAAAAACAAAATTCC